ATTTTGCATTCCCACCAACAGTGCACGAAAGTTCCCTTTTCTCCACATCTTCACCAACACTTGTTATTTCTTGTCTTTTTGATACTAGCCATTCTGATAGGTGTGAGGTGGTAGGGAGCATCTTTTCATGTGTCAGCCATCTGTATGTCTTCTTTGGAAAAATGCTATTCAGGTTCTCTGCCCATTTTTTAATTGGGTTGTTTTCTGGATAGTCGTTGTGAGTTCTTTGTGTATTTTGGTATTAACCCCTTGTTGGCTATGTCATTTGCAAATATCCTCTTCTCCCATTCAGTAGGTTGCCTTTTCGTTTTGTTGATAGTTTCCCTTACTGTGCAAAAGCTTTTTAGTTTGGTGTGGTCCCATTTATTTATCTTTACTTTTGTTCTTGCCTGAGCAGACAGATCCAAAAAAATATTGCTTACACGGATGTCCAAGAGATTACTGCATGTGTTTTTTTTTTTTTTTTAGGAGTTTTATGGTTTCCGGTCTCTAACCCATTTTGAGTTTATTTTTGTGTATGATGTAAGAAGGTGATGCAGTTACATTCTTTTGCATGTAGCTGTCCAGTTTCCCCAGCACCATTTAAGAGACTTTTTCCCATTGTATAGTCTTGTTTCCTTTGTTGAAGATTAATTGACTGTACAAGCATGGTTTTATATTTCTGGATTCTATTCTGGTCTCTTGATCTATGTGTCTGTTTTCGTGACAGTACCATATTGTTTGGCTTACTATAGCTTTGTAGTATAGTTTGAGATCAGGGAGTGTGATACCTTCAGCTTTGTTCTTTCTCAAGGTTGCTTTGGTTATTCAGGGTCTATTTTGGTTCTATACAAATTCTGGTACTATTTGTTCTAGTTCTGTGAAAAATGCCATTGGTGTTTTGACAGAGACAGCACTGAATCTGTAGATTGTTTTGGGTAGTATGCATGTTTTATTTTTGGGTAGTATGGACATTTTAACAATATTCTAATCTATGAGCATGATATATCTTTTTATATACTTGTGTTGTCTTCAGTTTCTTTTACCGGTGTCTTACAGTTTTCAGAGTACTGGTCTTTTACTGTGGTTAAATTTATTCCTAGGTGTTTTGTTTGGGTTTGTTTTTGGATGTGATTGTAAATGGGGTTGTTTTCTTAATTTCTCTTTCTGATGGTTATTAGTATATAGAAATGCAGCAGATTCATGTATATTAATTTTATATCCTGAACCTTTACTGAATACATTTATTCTAATAGTTTTTTGGTGAAGTCTTTAGAGTTTTCTATATATAGTATGTCATCTGCAAATAAGGACAGTTTTACTTTTTTTCCAATTTGGATGCCTTTTATTTCTTTTTGTTGTCTGATTGCTGTGGCTACGACTTCCAATTACCGTGTTGAATAAAAGTGGCAAGAGTGGACATCCTCATCTTGTTCCTGATCTTAGAGGAAAAGCTTTCAGCTCTTCACAGTTGAATGTAATGTTAACTGTGGTATTTCATTTTTAAGTTTCTGTAATGGAGGGCTGTATCTACAGTCGATGGGGACATTTAGTGTAGTCTCTCCACCCCCGCCCGCTAAGCTGCTGGTGTTGCATCTTACAATAGATGGTATCAAGTAGAGGAAATAGTAGTATGTAAAGCAGTTAATGCCATGTCAGGTACAATATGTATTCAGTAAGTAGCTGCTATCATTTTATTTTTAATTGAATAGAATTATGGTTCCTGTGTTAAGGCCATACCCTAGTAGGGAAACGAGGTCAGTCTACACACAGGACATCAGATTTGTGAGGTAGCCACCAGTGGGCAGGAGGGAAGAGCAGCTCCTAGGAGCCTAGCTGTTGAATATGAGAGAGGGCAGTGGGATTTGTGGTTTTAAGTGCTGAAGTCACTGTCTACACCATGGAAGCGGGAGCTGGACGAGGAAGGACCTGCAAAGTAGAACTTCCTGATTCGTGCGGCTAGCACACGTTTTCCTTGTTGTTGCTTTTTTGTCACTTCTTATTCTTTGTGGCAGTCTTACCTGAAGATCTTCAGCCTTAACGAGGCTGTGCTTTAGAGAGGCTGTTTACTTTTCCTCTTGGGCTGCAGGGTTTGTTCCAAGACGCCTGGCTTCTTTGAGGCAGGAGTGGCACAACTCAGCTGGAGAGCCTGTGGCCAAAGTAGATTTTAAGGAAGGGATTAGGCCATAATGGTTTGTTGAACTTCCCCTCCCTTTTTGGAAGGTCTCCTTCCAGTGGCAGACTTGAAGGTGCCAGACTGTATTTTATTAAACAAGGGAGCCTGTCCTTACAGATCTTTCTCTGCAGACACATTTGAAATACCTATACTCTAGTTTAAGAGTCTCTAATTTGGGTCGGAAGAAGAGTAGAGATCTGAATCTCAGGTAGATGGAACATAAAATGGGCTCATTTTATACAGACTATCTTGGAACTTCCCCACTGTTAAATATAGTTTTAAAAATATGTCTTGGTACTCACAGAGGTATAGGGTAAATAGGTAAAGGGTAAAGGGGCATTAACTCTAACTTACTCTTTTTTTCTTTTTTTTTTTTAAAGATTTTATTTGACAGAGAGCAACACCGAGAGAGGGAACACAAGCAGGGGGAGTGGGAGAGGGAGAAGCAGGCTTCCCGCCGAGCAGGGAGCCCGATGTGGGGCTTGATCCCTGGACCCTGGGATCATGACCTGAGACGAAGGCAGATGCTTAACGACTGAGCCACCCAGGCTCCCCAACTCTAACTTACTCTTTAAGAGTTCAGTGTAAAAAAAAAAAAAAAAAAAAGTTCAGTGTAGATGGGTGGGGGAGAAAAATAAAAAACAAGTGTGGTAGAATGCCGACATTTGGGGAATCTGGGTGAAGGGTTTGTGGGAATTTTTTTCTATTTTCGTAATTTTTCTGTAAGTATAAAATTATTTCTAAAGAAAAAGTTGAAAATATTTTGAGTATCTTTCCATGGAAGCCCATACATTTACATTATTATTTTAATTTTCTGTAGCATACTGCTGTGTGGATGTACTGTGAAGGTGTTTAGCCAGACTCCTATTTTTGGGCATTTGATTATTTCCAGTTATTTACCATTATAAACAGTGCTGTTTGGAGGTCTTTAAATATGATAATATCCTCATGTATTTGGAATGGAATCCCTGCACTCTGTTGAAATATTCCCACTCTCATAGTGGACCTAATAAGAAAATTCACAGTAAATTAAACAAATTAATGCTTGAACCTAAGACCTTATTTACAATTTTAAATGGGTTAAATGTCGACTAGTTAGCAATATTTATCTTACCCAGATATTAATACTGAGCTATAGAAAAATTTCTTCAGTTCTGCTTCATCTCATGTAACAAAGCTTTAGAAAAAAAGAATCTTTTAGTGACACGAAGCATCTCGGCTAAGTGTTGACTCCTTGAATAATTACGAAGATTGGAAAGTCTTTTAGCGTCCTAAAGTCGTAGCTTTCTCATCTCATTCTGTTGGAAGCGGTGCGCAAATCTTTTTCTCTCTCATTCCAACATGCTTCACTATTTCATTGATTCCCAAACATGTTAATCAGATTCCCATTCTCATTCCAGGAACAGATGGGGGATGAGGGGACTGTTTGACCGGAGTCGGTAGTAATACGCTATATGCTCTGTTGTATTGATTCACCTTCAACTTATAATTGTTATTTTTCCTGATGATGCATGTGAAAAATTGAAACCATAGAATATTCTTACATTTTATCCTCAGGTCAAAACAGCATTCAGTTCTGTTTCTGACATTTGTACTAAAATGTTTGGTTATTAGGGTTTGGTCCAGTTTTTAGGCATCTCATAGTGGTTTTGAAAAACAAAAAGCAGGTAAGGAAATGTAGTTAGTGACATGCAGAATGCCTAAAGGCAGATCTGATAGGATGCAGGTAAAAGTGATAACCCTTGATTCTTTGGTTATACCTTCTAACTTCCTCAAAAATAGGAAACTGCAGAAATTTCAACAAAATTGTTTCCGTGAAATTTACATGTTTTAAAACCAGACCCAGGCAGGTTAAATTACATTTGAACATTGACCTGTCCATTTGATTTGATTCCACGACAGTGTGAATGTTGTGTGCTCTTTTCTTTCCTTTTCCTTCATCCTTAAACTGAAATGGTGGGTTAATGAATCCTAGATCAGGAATTGGCAACCAGTGCTGTATTAAATTACACTCAGATTAGAAATGAGAGCCAGGAAAAGAACCCTTTCATGTCCTCTCCAGCTGTGAGGCAGGTATTGGACCTGCGGGACTGGGAAGACCAGAGCGTTAGGCACACAGCAGTGGCAGTAACAGGACGGATGTGTGTTGTACAGAACTTGCCCAGGGCACTTGGCTCTGAATTGACACAGAGCAAAAAGTTGCTTTTCCGGTGAAAATCATGAGGTCATGGGATTTGTTTCATGTCTCCAGTTAAGGAAAAGTGGTGTTTTGTTTTTTTTTAACTTCTCCATTTTCTTTGCACTTAAAAATATGAAGACTGTAAAATGGCATTTCCTAGACACTGTGGTAGTTATACTAGCGGTAACAGCCGTCGTTTGTTTAGCTGGGAATCGGGAAGAGGTATAAACAGTAGATCTTTCATCCAAGACACGAGGAAATCTCCCGTGTATGTTCGTGTGTACATGTGCATGTATATACATGTGCTTACATACTGTGAAAATGCTGACTTGACGGAGGGGTAGAGACATTAGAGTGAATGTCATTACTTTAAAGACAATCTTTGGCCGGCTAGATTATTACCCCCAAAATCTAATCTGTCCTTGATTCGATGTTAGCCTCTTTACTGTGGGCTCACTGAGGTGTCCAGATGATTTCCATCTCTGTGTTCATTTTCCTTGGCTGGCTGGATAGATGTTGCTATGAAGCCGCAAGCTGTGACCCCGGTTTTCTCTTTCTGCCTCCACTTTCGTTATGTCTGTTAATCCCCTAGATTCACTAATTTACTGATTTTCTTTAAGATACACATTTTCCTTTGGAAACTTTGACCCGAGGGTCCGAATTGTCCTCCTGTTGTCTCCAGCAGAACCCTTTCCCCACCCATTAAGTCAGGTTGGTCTCTTGCCTTGTTTTCTCCAGAATGTGAAGCTCCTACTACTTAACCAGTAAAAGGTGGCCCCGAGGTGATTGCCCTTGCAAGAGGGTTGCTGTGTGAATCCCAGCATCCCCTAATAACCATCGCTCGAGTTGTTTGCTTGCGCTAAGCTTTTCCTTCTTGTTTTTCACTTTCAGCAGACCTACTCCAATGAAGTTCATTGTGTTGAAGAGATTCTGAAGGTGAGTTCATTTACTGTTTCTCCGTTTGAAGAAATATTGAAGGAGGTAGATGGATATCCATTTACTTTGACTTTAAAGAACGGTTGCCAGGGCGCCTGGGTGGCTCAGACGGTTGGGCGTCTGCCTTCGGCTCAGGTCATGATCTCAGGGTCCTGGGATCGAGTCCCACATCGGGCTCCCTGCTCCTTGGGAGCCTGCTTCTCCCTCTGCCTTTCTCTCTCGCTCTGTCTCTCATGAATAAAAAAAAAAAAAAAAAAACTTAAAAAAAAAAAAAAAAAGAACGGTTGCCATTCCAAACCCCTTCAAACCGTTCCCCTCCTCACACCTTCCAATGCAAAATAAACCGGAACAGTAACAGAGGGACTCTTAAGAGCCTGACTGAGCTCTCTGACAGATTCTATTAATTAAAATGAAGTCTACAAGCTGCAAGGCATTTGGACCAGAGTTTTAAGACCTCTCTCAGGTTTTTCTGATTGTTGTTCATAAAGACCCACGAGGGTTGTTCACTTCACAGAAAGGAAAGTCCGCTGTATTTAAGGGGTTAAACAGTGCTTGATTTATACTCTTAGTGTTTCGTAGGTGACACCTGATATGTATGGCCTCATCTTCAGTGAGGCCATGAATTTTTAAAGGAATAAAAAAACAAAGCAGAAGAAAGTAAGTGGACATCTGTAAACCTACCTTAGAGGGTTATTTTTCACTCTAGTTTCTTGAGATGGTGCCATGAATGTTTGTGCTGCTTCTACAGATCCATCATTGAACCCATTATCTGTGGGTTCAAGGTTTTTTTGCGCAAGGACAACAAATCCCTCCTAGAATTCAGCTCCAGGAAAAAATGAATAAATTCTCCTCATGAGCCAGCACGCTTTCTTTTTATCAGAGAAGAATTATATAAGCTGTTTAATTTCCCATTTTGGCTTTAATTTCCAGGAAATCTAGAGCTAAATTTAATGCCCGAGTACTGTAATTGTGATAACTAAGGGTTTTATTTGTTTCTCATTCCTTTTCTTTGACTTTTAACTTTCCTCCCTGTGGGATTTAATGATATTCTTGCTTTATCTTTTACTGTAAGTTTTCCGATTTTTTTTTTTGAAGTAGAGATATATATGACACATGTACCTATTCATTTGTATCTTCACTGCTCACTTTTCCTCAAAATATATGCTTACCCAATTTTTTCCTTTAATTTTTCATTGTAAAGTAAGGTGGTACTGAAACCAGTAGTTTGTTTTTTTTTTTTTTTTTTAAGATTTATTTTAGAGAGAGACAGAGCAAGCGATCAGGAGGGGGTATGGGTGGGCAGAGGGAGAGGGAGAGAGTGTCGACTCCGCACAGAGCCCAGCGCAGGGCTTGATCTCACGACCCTGAGATCATTACCCGAGCCGAAACTAAGAGCCTCGGACGCTCAACCGATCGTCACCCAGGTGCCCTTGAAACCAGTAATTATATCGGTTACCTTCTCACTTGCAAAATTTTTGGCAAAGGTAGTGTCTAGCCAGATGTTTGGAAAGTAGTCCCATCATTTTTGTTTTCTTTGTCCCCTGCTTTTGTGGTTAGGACCTTCTGAGAAAGAAATATCTCTAAGGAAACATGCTTTGTACTGCTAGAATTGAGCAATTTTTATGAACCAGCTTAATAATAAACAGGTTATCTTGATCAAGCTTTTGTTTCATCCTCTCCTTCTGGTATTTCTGAAATCCTTTGGTGTGACGAGTCATAAAAACAACAAATGACTTAGTTTTAAAATATGGGCTTAGCATTTTCTCTGAAAGTGTATGTGATTTGTTTTATAGTTATTTCAAAAGTAAATGCAGCGATATAGATTAGTTTGTCTTCTGTATATGTCAAATGCTACTCTTAGGTTTTGATGTGGGTTAATATATTACTTGTGGAATCCCTTAATGAGGACGATGGTATTAGAGCACCAGACAAGCAATTTTAATTTAATAAACTCCCTCCCCTCTAAGCCAACATCACTTTCACAGGTTCTTCCTTACCTGGAAATACATGAAAGTGAATGGTTAATGCAAGCAACCGGATGAGTATTTTCATTTGGAAATCGTATAGAAAGCAAGCAGAAGGATGTCCTGGACTGGGGAGGGGCACAGGCTTTTGCATAGCGGAGACTTAGAGTCTGTGCCCCCTTCTTTTCTCCTCTGTTTGGAGCTTCAGCTACATCATGTGCCCTGGGCCTCGGTTTCCTCGTTGGTAAAATGAAGGCCCTGGGCTAATAGATGATCTCTAGGGTATGATCTAGCTCCCACTCTCTGGTGCTGATCCAGATACTTTCCTCTGCCTCATGGTTCCTGTTTTTCTCTTGTACCAGCAATTTATGAAGATTGCCAGGAATCCTAACACAAATCTTTCTGATGGGCAATAGAAGCAGTAAATAGTTCCCTAATAGAAAAAAATCAATCATAGAAGATACTGTTTGGTTCTGTGGTGGAAATATTAAGAGTGGAAGTGTTTTTAATGAAGGGGAGGTGGTGGCCTATAATTCCTGCAGGCTGATGGGGTAAGGAGATAGCAGATAGATACTACTAGAAACTAGGAATTGGTCGTGCATGAGATCCAGACAGGGCACTGTGCCCTCATGTCCTCACTGGGTGTATGGAAACAGCTCACATTCTCTCCTTACAGTGGGATGGCCTGGCCAGCCTCCTGGGGAAGTCAGTGCAGTTCTCGTGGACATGACCTCAGTGTAGCCTCCCAGTAGGGATGCTGTGACATTGAGTGGCAGCACTAGTATTTGCTCATTCATTTATGCAACAAATACCCACTAAGCCTCAAATACTTTCCTAGGCACTGGGGATTCCATATGAGTAAGACTGAGTTCTTGCTTTAAAGGGGACTACAGGAGGAAGATAATTATACAATAAAAATGTCAGGTACTGCTAAGTACTATGAGTCCGACAGCAGGCAAATGAAGAGGACTAGACAGAGGAAAGAATGCAAAAAACCTTGAGGTGGGAACAGGTTGCTGTATTAGAAGAGCACCAAGAGCTAGGCAGTGTGTCTAGAGCAGAATGAGCAAGGTGGAGAGCAAGGAGCAACATCAGCCCTGGTGCCTAGAAGCCAACAAGCCAAGACTGGGCAGGTGTGATAAGTCATTGTTTAGGTAGGCAGTGAATTCATGGCCTTGAGTGCAATTCTGGGCAGCCTCTTTGCCTTATGGCCCCAGTTCTCCTAAGGCCTAACTCCCTCCAGTAAGCTAGGCATTTAGGGAAGTGTATAAATTCTTTCAGACTGTTGGCAAACAGCCTAGGGCTTGAAAGAGTTTATGCACTTTCCAACTGCCTAATTTAATAGCTGGGGCAGCCTTAGGCATTGTGAGTACAATGGACATTTTCTGGGAATAACTGGTGACTAAAAGTCCTAGATACCATTGGGATTCTAAAGAAATTCTTGGAAAACAGAAGAGGGGGGATACTTTCAAACACCTCAATTAATTGCATTTTTACATTGTAGCGGTATAATGGTCACATTCCTTAAAGGACAGTAAAAGAAATAAAACAGCAAGGAGCTCTCTTTGGTGCAGTATTGAAATTCTTGAAAAACCGGACTTAATTAAAAGTTGTGATGCTTTTAACTTAAGTACTTTCTATGACCATATATCTAAACACTACATAAATTACCCTCATTTCAAATCCTCAGAAAAATAAGTGGTCTTAGTTCACCTCTCACTGAGAACAGCCGTTCAGAGGGCTCAGGCACCTCAGGCTGCCCATGGCTGGTAAGGATCAGAGTTCAGATTCCAGTCTGGGACTTTGGCTCCAGAGTGGTTACTCTTTCCATCATATTTGAGGACAGAATTCTTCCTTTGTGCTGCACAAAGCAGAGGGTTAGTCAGTGAACAGGGGCATGTCTTCACCTTTAGCAAACATTACTCAAGAAAGCCAGAATCAGGGACTTTGCTCATCACTGTGCCCGGTTATTTCTGTCTGTCCTGGGGTGATGGCAACCCAGAGAGTGGCTATGAGGAAAGGCAAGGGGGAAGGTGCAGAGGTTGGGGATGGAAATACCTGCTAGAGATCCATCTCCAGTTGTTCAAGGATCGGATAGCATTTCTGTGGTAATGGAGAGGTTGTCCGCACTTGAAAAGAGTGCAGTGTTATAATTGTACAAGTGAAGTAATTCGGTGCAGTCTGAGGTCGCCCGCTTGCTGGTAGGGAGTTGCCAGTCCATCTTTAAGCCAGTTTCCCAGGCAAGTCTGACACACGTGGGAATGGACTTCTTGCTCTTAGACTGGAGAGAAGCAAAGGGGCCCACGCTGTGTGTTCTCAGCCATCAGCCTGATCCAGTCATTCTGGGCCTGTTTTCTCATCTGTAAGAATGAAGGCGTTGAGGGGCGCCTGGGTGGCTCAGATGGTTGAGCGTCTGCCTTTGGCTCAGGTCATGGTCTCAGGGTTCTGGGATTGAGCCCCACATCAGACTCCTTGCTCAGCGGGGAGTCTGCTTCTCCCTCTGCCTGCCGCTCCCCCTGCTTGTGTTCCCTCTCTCTCTTTCTCTTGCTCTCTGACAAATAAAATCTGAAAAAAAAAAAAAAAAATGGAGGGGTTGATATGAATGATCTCCAATGCCATTTTAGCTCTTTACCAAAGTGTGTGTGCGTGCGCGCACACGCATGCATGTATTTGTGATTAGACACGTTTAATCTGACCTGTTTTCCGCCAGTTTTTTAGCAAAGCAGACTATAAGTCATGAATGTGCTTAGAAAAAAAAAGAATTCATGGTCAAGATAAATATGTTAATTTGTGAGATAGAGAAATCTTGCCTCCATGAAAATAGTGAATAGAAGTGAAACTTGTATTACTGGAAAGGGAAGGTAATTTTTTAAGGCCCTCCCCGCCCCCCAAAAAAAGTTCGTATGTACTAATAGTGTGTATCAGGGGAGGGTCAAATCCATTAAAACTCTCCCAAGTGGAACAAGTGACCTGAATTACTTGTTTGCTTAAGTCAAACAGGAAAGTTCTTCTTCCTTTGAACTTAAATAATTCCAGGAAATGCAATAAAGAAGCTGAGGGAGAAAGTAAGCATTGAGTCGCGACTCCGTGTTCACAGTTACATAAGCTCTGTTAATATGCTTTATGATCTCCAGTGTGAAGACCACTCATGTTCTGCATTCTTGTTTTTCCTCTCTGAACTGAATGCTGTTTTGTGAGTGGGAGACCTTCAGCGTTTGAACACAGCCCGTTAAGTAGGCGTCTTTTAAAAAGTAAAATAACTTCTGAGATTTCACTTTTTATTTACCACCAATCCACTTTACGTTTAGTTTGAAAAGTTAACTTACGTAGCAATAAATGTTCTATTTATAATTTACTTTTTCTTCCCTTTCCATGTCTCTTTCCAGGAAATGACCCATTCATGGCCGCCTCCTTTGACAGCAATACACACGCCTAGTACAGCCGAGCCCTCCAAATTTCCTTTTCCCACAAAGGTAATTCTTTACAAGTACAACAGGCCGTGTATCCACACCTGTGCAAAGTCTGAAGTATTGCTATGAGATAGATTAACTTAGCACTAGCTGTTGAAATCTTTGCAGATTAGGTTAAAACTGCCACTAACTTAGCTTCTGAAGTGCTTCATAATGTTTTCAAACACTTCACTCTCCAAATTATGTGGGTAAGAACATCTTACCTTTGTATGGGGTTTTGTAGCTTATGAAAGCATTCAGGACTTTTCAGTAAATTCTCTCATTTGAGACTTCTTACTTAGACATGGGAAAACAGAAGTACAGGGAGAGTGAGTGACGTAGGTGTCTGAATCCTCGTTCGGAATTTAGATATATGCATAACACATAAATCTTAGACTTTCTCATACCTACTAATTTTCTTAAAGTTTGCTGTGATCATCTACATTAGTGCTGGTTTTAATAACAAGTGAATCAGTTGCTGACTCGCATATTTCCGTTGAAGTATTTGTGAACAGTGTATTTTAAACCCTGCCATTTTCCTTTGCTTATTTGTACTTTGGGATAACCTTCAGAGTATAGAAATAGCACCTTCAGATCTGTGTTCTGTCCAGCTTGGTATGCATGCACACTGTTAATATATTATAGCTATTCCTTTGCATGGTATTGTTTTCAAAAGAGGTTATATCTACCCAGACCAGAATCTGCCATGTTAGATACTTTACATATTTTCTCATGATAGTTTTTTTTAATGTTGTTTGTTATTCCTGGTAAAAACATTATACTTTGTAAAAATAAATGAATCTTTGCTCAGTACCAAAGGAAAAATAAATTCTAGGAAAGAATAGAAGAAATAAATAATAAATAGAAGAACTAAAATCCATTTTACATATGTAAAAAATAGATTTATCAGTGTTCATCAGACATAGCAGTGATGCAGCCTTAGATTTATAAACCTTAATAATAACTAGAGATTTTTTTTTTCTTTCTAGGATTCTCAGCACATCAGTTCTGCAACCCAAAACCAAAGTAGGTGGAACTGATTATTGCATTGGAGAACAAAGCATGGTTTTTGTTGTTTTACTATAAAAAAAAACAACAATGCAAAATAGCCCAGCACAGATGAGGGCTTCCTATTTTGAAAGAATAGGAAGGGAGCACAAACATAAAACTGTGCTTTAGGTGGAATTTCAGATCGTTGCAAAGAGTTAATGAAGATGTCATAGTAAAGTACTTGACAAATATAATGTGTCATAATTATAACAAATATAATTACCTGACGTATGCACACATCTTGAACGTGACTCTCAAAGCATTGTAACCCAGGAATAGTATATAGAATAGATTGGGATATTTTTTGTGGTTCTTGTGTTTTTTTCTAAGAAAAGTAAGAAATTTGTATAAGGAATAGAGTACATAGCTTCTTTAGTTTTTCTTTATGTATTCACCCTGCAATTCTTGTTTGGTCTCTCTTTATGGATTGTAAATAGTTAAGAATTCAGAGGGAAACAGAAGTAAGCTAACTGGATCCAGCCATTCTCTTCATCAATAACCCCTTGATTCAATAAAGTTTTTGTGTCTCAACTACATGCAAGGCATTTCAAACCTTATGAAAATGACTAGGGTATTTGCAGTCATTTAGTTTATTAATATATGGTGCATGTCCAAGTTATGAAGTGTTAGTCTTCAAAAAAATAGGGCAACCAAAGTAGGATATGTATGTATGTTGGGAGAAGGTTGCACATAGATACTCCATGGAGGTGACTCTTCCTCAAATCTCCCCACCTCATTCTTTTCCCTCACTTATATATTTTTTTCCCTTTATTTTTCTACAGTTTAAATTGCACGGATGTGAGGAGAGTAGAAAAAAGATGAGGAAAGCAAGAAACAGAATATCCTTTCCCCTAGAGCAGGGGTGGACCCACCATAGCCTGAGAGTCCATCTGTTCTGCAGCTGGTTTTTGTAAAGAAGGTTTTATTAGGACACAGCCATGCCCGTTCATTTATTATTATGCCACGAGGTACAGCTTGCAACGCCAGAAATATTGACTCTCTGACCTTTATAGAAAAAGTTTGCCATTCTCTGCTCTAGATACTAAATAAGATCTTGCAAAGGACTCATGACTGAATTTCCCCCATATGCAGAGAAATAAACCTGATCATCCTGCCACAGTATTTGTATAAGTGGCAAGGTAAAATTAACCAAAATTAATGGCTTCTTGGGGCGATTGGGAAATCTTTTTTTCTCAGCATCTTGGCGGTCTCTCCAGAGACAAATAAGCAGTGGAGTGGGACAAGGCTCGGCAGGACGGCCAGCTCAGCTGTGGACAGGCTTGCTGTGTGCCCCTTTACCGCTTGCTCTCCCCTCTCCCCATTTGCTAGGGCTGCCCGCCAGGCAGATCATATGCCTTCCCCTGGGTTCCTCACAGCTTTGATGATTGCTAACTCCTGGTTTAGAAGGACCCTTTTAATCCTTTAAATTGTTTGATTTCCCCTTTTAGCAAAATCTAGCTGAAGATGAGCTGGTAAGCACTTTCTTGGCGGAGAATGGGTGGCCCTCTCAGCCGATGGAGTAGTGTGGGCCAATTTCTCCTTGCTCTTGGTCTGAGGCGTTTTCAGACCCTGGCAGGTCTCCAGTAGGTCTTGGCTCACTAGATGCTTACCCTGGGGTTTTTCATGCTGCCGCCATTCTGTCTGTCCGTTTTCCGGGGAACCTTGTTTACTTTTGTGAGAGTGGGACCTAGTTGAACCCTAGAGAGGTCTAGTTTTATGTTGGGTGAAGAGGGAGTTAGTTATCTTAAGGTTTTGTTTAGAGCCTGCAGAGAATGAAGTATGCCTAAGGGTAATCAGAGCCTTGGGGTGCTTCAAACCCAGTGAAGACCAGTATATGAGAGTCCCTGTGAGTGCCTCGAAGAGTGGCCTTAGCCCCTCCAATTTGTAGTTCTGCCTGTAGCTTCCTAGCCAGAAGGGGAAGCAGTTATAACTGTCATGTAAGAGCTGCTGCCGCCATGAGGGTAAAGTGATTAATTGCAAGGTCTCCACATGACATTGTTGGGAAATCTCATTCAAGCCTGCCTAAAAGGCACCCGTATTCCCATTCCACTCCCCGTTCTGTTTCAGGTCCCTATTACCTCACGCCTAAAGCAGCTTCCCAGATGGGTTGTTGCCTCCACCGTTAATATTGCCCGTTCCTTTCTAGGTTCTGCCAGGTGGCACCACTAAATTAATCTTTCTGAGGAATCTCTCTAGCATGTACCTGGTAGAGACCTTTGGTGGTGTCTCATTGCCCAACAAAGTTCTAACTTACCATCCTGGCATTCAGCGCTCTCCCAAATCTGACTTTCACCTGTCTTTCCATCGTGTCCACACATTTTGTACGCCGTCCTTACCCTTTCCAAGTCTGTGCCATTTTAAATCTTCCCTCTCCTGCCCGAAGGCCTTCCTCCTCCTCCTCCTCTCCCTTTGGCCGGCAGTCATTCTGTCAAAACTTCACCCATCTTTTGTGACACAGTTCATTTTGCTCCTTGTCTAGCTTGCCTTCTTTAGTCACTACCAAGAGAGAGACCATTCTTTAGTTTCCTGGGACCGTTCATTTATGTGACCGATTTGCGTGCCCCTCTCACACTGCCCGCCATTGGAGATATTTGTGTGCCCGGCACGCGTCCCTCAGTCACTTGTCAGCTCATCGAGGATAGGGTCGAGTGCCTCGAACATCTTGTATCTGGGAGGCAGTGTGACTACGTGGATGGGGGCAGGTGTTGAATAATGGACAGGTGAGAGGGAGCGCACACTCGATGGAGGTCAGAGGCTGGGAAAAGGGAGTGCTGGTAAATCACTGGCAGATGGGGAAGGGCAGACCAGGTGGGAGTGAGAGCAGCTCTCTCCTAGGGCTTCCATGGGGGTCCCCCACCGCGAGCTGACATCAAGGAAAGTCAGGTCCCCAGCATGTAGAAAAGTTACCAGTCATGGGGTAGGGTGTGTTGCAAGCAGGGCTTTTCTGTGGCTCTTTGCTCTGTTCAGGGTTTTTCGATTCTGAGCAAGTCCTCGTTCTAGAGGTAACGTAAGTGCTATTGTATGATGGTGAGAATGTATCACCATGGTGCAGTGCATATAGCAAGCACTATGATTGACCGAGTTGAAGTAGACGAAGTGTTCAGGTGGAAAAAGCAAGGACGGGGGTGAGGGGGACAGCACAGAAAGGGGGGGATTTATAAGGAATAAACTCAGGAATGTATCTCATTGTGCTGCTCTGATCATTTTCCTTCCCCCACAGAACAATATGATACATCTTCAAAAACCCACACTAATTCTCAGCAGGGAGCATCGTAAGTAATATGCTTTTGTTTATTAAAAGTTTATAACGTAACATGGTAATTTCCCATGTAAATCCATTGCTTAGATTTTTTTTTTCCTACCGCTTTCAAGTAATGACTTTCATAACCTACCACTGCATTGTAAAAGGAAGTAATGCCCTACATTTATACTTGGATTAAGTTCTTCTGTTGAAGGTTGAGGCACCACAAGAGAGTTTGCTAAGGCGTCTTCTCAAAAGAAAGGCATGTGAGCCATTCTTTACATATTAACTGTGGAAAATAGAAGTTCTTAGCGTTGTAAATTTCAGTCCTAAATAGCTTTTGCTTTGGAAGACAAATTTTAGGGGATGTGTACAATTTAAGATTTTTTGGCCACTTTTTTGGCCTAGTTTTAACTAATAAAGAATGAGTCTTATTGCCCAGCTGTTCTTTATTAAGGCCAAGTAAGTCCAGATACATTTGGGGTTTTTAGAACGGTTTAAAGTACATAATAAAGATTTTCAAATCAGCAATTGGACCCACTTGGTCATTTCTTGATGGTATTGAAGTAATACTTGTTTTCCTCCAACTGCAAAGGGTTTTTGGGAACGAGGTGATGCTCCTTCAGTATCTAATCAGTCACTGACGGGGGAGGGGGAGGCGCTAGCCTCCCCGAATTTTGGGTTTAAGCTCCAGCTTTGCTCTGGGTACAGTGTTTGTTCCATGCATCTTGGAAGGGGTCACTGCTGTGGGTTGAGTATTTTGAGAAGCTGTGTAGTCGAGGCAGAGAGGTTATTTTATCTTTTCACCGTGACTGAATGTGGGACTAAGTTAAATCACGGCTCCCAAGTGCCAGCTCCTTTCTCCATCGCAAAACAAGAAAAAAAGAACAATATGGCAAGATATTTTTAAAGATTAATTTCCTACAGTTCAAAGGGTGGAGTTTTTTGTGCGTGTAATAAAAGTTATTTCATTTGTGGTACTGGCAGATGGTGAGATTTTTGCTTGTTTTTATTGTCCTTTACCAGAAAAAAAAAATTTTTTTTTTAACCTTATGTGCCTTTTCTTTCCCTTCCCCACCCCCCTTTCTTTCTTCCTTCCTTTTTAAATTTTACTGGCTCTTGAATTTTGGAAGTCTGGAATCGATGGCTGGTAGAGAACAGAAACTGTAGTTCAAGGGACTGCAATTGTAACGATTCTGTGGAAGCTCTAACTTCCCCCAAGGTTTTACACCTTGTGCTCTTTGTAACGATTGGTAGTAAAGCCCTTTAGACCATAAAAGGCCCCTGTCTGTGTTTTTGGGGGCAGCGAGGAAGGGGGAATTGAAGGACACAGCCGCTGTGTCCTTGGGCCTGTGGGGAGAGGAGGAGAGGCCACTGGATGTGAGCGAGGCCCAAGAAGCAGCTTCACATCGAGCAGGCCAAAGTCACACCCTCTCACACCACCCACTTCCATCAGCTTTCAGGCTCGGGTAGTTGGTAGGGACTTAGACCATTTTCTGTGCTGGGTTTGCTCCTCAGAGAGATGGGCCGTCCTCCTGCTGAGTTGAAGCCCAGAAATCAGAGGTGCCTACAGGTGTGTGACAGGCATATGACATAGGTAGTGCTCTCTTTACAAAACTGTTCATTTGCCATATATAAAATCGCCTAGAAAAGAGTATTTATTATGATCCTGGTAGACTGAAGGAGGGGAGGAAGACCGGGCCCCTTCGAAGGAGGCGAAGAGGAAAGGGAAGCGTGACAGAGGAAGAGAGAAGGAGGGGGGTACGGTGGTGGTCGGATGGGCAGGGCTGGTGGGATCGATAAGAGCCGGAAATGTACCTCTGGGAAAAGGAATCACGTCCGTGTCCCGATTAATTTGTGCAGTGCAGTCATGGTTTCAGACTCAGTAGGTCACATCTGTTGGTGCTCACAGGTTAATTTGATCTAGTGTCAGCGTGTAGGCTCTATGACATGCACTGAAACTATTTGAGCGGCAGAGTGCCAGAGAGATGGTCTAACGCACTTTGAATGTCAGAGAAAAAAACGTTCATTTCGGGATCATGTGTACTGTGGTTTTAAAACTCAGTCTAGGTCTTAATGCTTTTTCTTTCAGTTGCTAGTACTTGGGAATCCTCAGATACGATATTATTCTCTGGACTTGGTTCTAGGTGACTTGGAGATCTTTCCAAAAATTGCTTCCATTCTTCCATTCAGGGCATAATTAGTGAACACATGCTGTGTGCTTGGTGCTGCTTTAGGGACTTGGAAACGGTGGCCGCTGAGACAAAATTCTTGTCTTTTTGTCTTGTAACTTAATGCAGCTGTCATGTCATACAAACTCTAGGTGCTGTGATGGCGACAGGCTCAGGGAGCAGTTCTTTTGGGTGGCGGTGATATTTTTGGGAGGGAGGTCAGGAAAGGTCTCTCGGAGGTGACGTTTGATCTGGAGCCTGAATGATGGGAGAGCGAGGCAGAGAATTTCTGCCACGTCTAAAGGGGCTTGATAGATTTTGCGGCAGGCTCTGAAGCCATCTGAAAACATCCGGGAGTAGTAATTCTTACTGGCAGTGACAACTTTGAAGTAGTTCCTTTGCCTATGCAAAGCATGGTTTTGAAGGAGCCTGTGGAGGTCCATTTAAGTCTCACATTTGATCATAACTGCTAATTTCCTGCAGTAAGTGACCATAGACTAATTTAAACATTGCCTGAAAGATTGAATAAGATATGTTTTAATGCGCTAAGAATCTGTTAGCCCTGAAGGCAGTTTGTGCCTTCCACCCACCTTGGGATGCTGGGCTATTAAATCAACAAGATGTGGTCTACTTCCACAAGAATGTGTATTCTGTCTCACCCTGCAGGGGCCTCCAAAGCCTGCCAGTAACTTACCTGTCTACCCCCCTTACGATCCCTTTCCCCCCATATTCTGGTATATTTTCCATTGTGGCCATGTTGGCCCCCTTGCTGTTTTCTTTCTTCTTTCTTTCTCTCTCTTTCTTTCTGTCTTTCTCTCTTTCTAAGATTTTATTTGAGAGAACACAAGCTGGGGGAGGGGTGCAGAGGGAGAGGGAGAAGCATGCTCCCCACTGAGGGAGCCTGATGTGAGGCTCAATCCCAACACCCTGGGATCATGACCTGAGCTGAAGGCAGATGCTTAACCTACTGAGCCACCCAGGCGCCCCCTCTTTGCTGTTTTGGGTGCCCAGATCACTCTACCCCCTGTTCCTGCAGTGTATGCAATCTCCTTACCAGCGCAGACTTCCCTAACTACCCCATGTAGAAAAGCAACCCACGCCCATCTTTACTCTTTTATTCCCCTCCGTAGGCTTTTTACCCATTGAAAAAAATATATATTTTAGTTGTTTATTTCCCTCTTCATAAGGGAAAAGTATATATTTTAGTTGTTTATCTCCTAGACTGTGAGTGCCACAAAGCAGGGATTTTGTCTGCTTAGAGTTGTATCCACTGAATCTAGAGCAGGGCCTGGCATGTAGTAAGTACTAAGAGTAAATGTGGAAAGAAAACTTACATAGAAACTTGATTAAATATGTGTATAAACAATACTTAATACATGGGATTTAAGGCAATAACTTTTCTAGCACTAATATCTTATTTGTCATACTTATTTTTTTAAGTAATCTCTCCGCCTGGCATGGGGCCTGAACTCACAACCCCGAGATCAAGAGTCACACGCTCTACCAACTGAGCCAGCCAGGCATCCCTGTTATACTTACTGATTTAATCTTATTTATTAACTTCAGATTTCCCCTCGTTTATAGTCTTGTAATTTTTCTCATGTCCTTCCATGACCTCAGATAATCTTCACTTCATCCATGGATTTTAAATAGTCTTTTACACCTCTGGCAGTTTTTAACCTTGATTACTCTGTGTACTGTCACTTTCCGCTCTGTCTTGTTTGTCCATAATCTCCCATAGACCGTCCCTCCCTGAATCTGAATAATGCCAGCCACTGTCACCATTTGGAGAGTCCCCCCTATATGCAGTGTCACAACTGCTTGAGATTTGTTTTTTTCAGTTTTTCATTTATTATGTGTGGAGCCTTCTTCATAATTTGTTGCCTTCCCTCATCTCCTGCAAAGCATTTGCAGTCCGTATTTCCGCCCTTGATCAAAAAAAGGAATCACAGCCTGATTGAATTTTAGATTTGGGGACTTACATATGTCTGCTTTGGAGCCCAGCCTCTTTCTCTTTCTCTGCCCTCCGTTCCCCATTCTATCCCCAAATCAGTTTTCAGTTTGTGAGATTGTTCAAGTTCACCAATTCTCACATGTTCATTAGCGGTTTCTGAAAAGTATTACGTGCCATCTTATGCACACCTAATACCAGGGTTGTGACTTAACTAATTACCGTGAGCTTGCCTTCACTTGCTCTTTCCCAAATAAAATGTACGGCCCAATTGTAGGAAATGTTGAGCCAAAAAATCAGCTTATTTAAGTAGTTTTGGGGTTTGAATTGAGATGTTACAGACTATTGGCAGTGAAGTCGTTGGCAAGCCCAGGACTGGGGAATGGAAAAGGAATAAAGGCTTGTCTTGTGTGTCTTCACACAGTAACATTCGGGCTCTGAGTCACTGAAGCCTGCCTGCTGGAACGTGTACATGGCTCTCTTAAGCGTTGCAGAGCAGTTGGCCTGAAGAATGCATTTGTACAAAGGGGCTTGAGGATAGTTGGTAACCTCTAAATAAAAACTCTACCTCACCGGTAATGTAAAATGTGGTTAAACCTACGTGTTAGTTCAAAGAGTGGCTCTACCTGAGTATTTGGCTTCTTTTGACCAGGGCCAAGGTAGGCCATATGGTGGCATATGCTTTGAAATAGCTGCTTTGTCTTGGCGTTTGGAAGTGAAATTAGTCATTTAACCAATTTTAAAAGTATATGAGGTTTATAGTTCATTTATTTTCGTAAGGGAGAAAGAGTGTATCCATTTTATTCCAGCAGGGTAATTACTGTTTTCTTTAATCGAAGTCTTTCTCTCCGGGGATTCTGGAGAATCCCTCCTATCATGTAGGTTTTCTAGCCATTGCGCCCTCTATTGGCCGGAACAAGGCAATCGTATGAGACGGAATGGCTTTTGCATTCCAGATCCAGCATGTACCAGCTTCATGATGTGGGCAGGGTCGGTGGCTCTTCTGAGCCCGTTTCCTCACCCTCAGAATGTGAGGGCATGATCAGAGGTGGCCATACGGTTGTGAGTAAAGGCAGTGTCTGCAGAGTTCTGAGCACACGGTGGGCGCAGCTACGCGGTGCTGTTACCTATGCAGCAAACAGGGTGCTGCTACTCATTCAGCCAGCCTTTTAGGGTTACCTGCCAAGTTCTGGATATAGAAGATATGAAGGTGAAAATGACTTGGTCCTGCCCCAGAAAAGCTTATAGTTGAGTATGTCCCTTGGGCCTTATGCTCTCTTGACCTAGATCTTACTGGTATGAGTGAGACTGGGTCTAAGAGGTTTGATTCCCTTCTAGTGGGTGCTGAGGTGGTCACCCAGATGTGCTGTAATTCGTTTTTGCCATTTTTCACATTATGGACCAATTCTCCCACATGTACCATGTGAAGTGTGCTAGAGTAATGTGCTTGGGCTCAGACATAACTGTTTGTGGGACAAGTCGGGGATTTTAGCAGCTGCTTCCTTTAAATTTTTTCCTTTATCTCTAAAGATAAAACCTTTACCGGTTATCAGGTTAGATTCCCCCCAACTATATGGATTGATTGATTTATAAAGATTTTATTCATTCATTTCATACAGACAGAGAGCACAAGCGGGGGTGCTACAGGCAGAGGGAGAGGGAGAATATGGGGCTCGATCCCAGGACCCTGGGATCATGACCCAAGCCGAAGGCAGATGCGCAACCATCTGAGCCACTCTAGTGCCCCTCTTTTTTTTTTTTAATTACAGTGGTATTCATGATTAATTTTCTGTATTAGTAAAACTTAGATACGGTTTTTAAGTAACTTTTTTTCTTACTACAGATTCAGGACAGGTTTGTTATAAAGAATTTTAGAAGTATCTTTCTTAGCCCCACTAATAGTATGCTGGTTTATGTTGAGCTACCCATCTGGTGATATAATAAACTCTGGTTTCTGGAAGATTCCATGTTACTCTTAGGGGTGGCAGACACTGACAATACACTTCGTTCATTTTTGCATCAGGGTGGCTGGCTGGCTCAGTTGATAGAGCATGCGACTCTTGATCTTGGGATCATGAGTTCAAGCCCCACATTGGGCCTGTTAGAACTTATTCTTTAAAAAAACAAAAGCAAAAACAACAGACTAATTTTTTTTTTTTTTTTAAGGTTTTATTTATTTATTTGACAGAGAGAGACACAGCGAGAGAGGGAACACAAGCAGGGGGAGCGGGAGAGGGAGAAGCAGGCTTCCCGCGGAGCAGGGAGCCCGATGCGGGGCTCGATCCCAGGACCCTGGGATCATGACCTGAGCCGAAGGCAGACGCTCAACGACTGAGCCACCCAGGCGCCCCCAGACTAATTTTTTTATCAAATAAATTGAACCATGAATTTTGATTAAATGAAATACCATCTGTAAATAACCAGTATATCCTACATAGTGGTAGATTTTGTTTGACCCTTTTGGTTTATCATTGCTTTTTGAGTGTTTCTTCGGCGATATCTGGAGCACTCTTCCTTCAGAGGTCACTATCCCTCATCTCTTTAGGTATCATACCTGCAGGCTTTTATTGTTATTGTCTATGTAAGGCTCTGAAGGGGAAATTCTTGGAATCTGGGACAGCATTTTTACAGTGCCTTTTATTCCTTAAGAGCAAGTAGAGCTAAAAGTCAGAACATAACGCTTTCTGACTTACTTCAGGAGAATATATTTGTGGAAGCAAGGCGGACAGCTTACAGAGTATTTAGTGCCCTGCTTACATCAGGAAATGTAATGGGTTACCTGATCATTGATGTTTCAGGAAATTAAAGCAAATCAGTTTTATACAAAAGCCAGTGACTAAGAAACAAAGAGGTCCACTTACTGTGGTTTTGCTGTCGGTTTTTTGTTTTTTTTGTGTTTTTTTTCCCTGGTTGTGTTATACCTTACATTTATTCAAAGATACATCTTTTATCTTTTGCTTGGGTATGCCCCAGCCGAGCCAGGACTTGGCAGTAACACTGTTGAGTGACTTTTTCTTGTATACCATTATGATATCTACTGCCGAGTCCTGCATCTGAAGGCTGTGTTTTCTAGCCTTGCTAAAATAAGGTAGCTCTCATTAGGTAAATATCGAGCAGCATCTACATTTACAAGTAGCTAACAGTTTTCATATTTTTTAGAAACTTACCATAGGATAGTTTTAGTACCATTTGTTGGTGAAAATAGTTCCTTGGCAGAATTACAACATTGCATTAAGTGGTCATTATGAAAGAGCCAAATTTTATCATTTATTTTCATTAGAAAATACAATGATTTTACCAAGGATTCCCAAAATAATCATGCTTGCTTATTTCAGCGGCAGGTTAGTGGGTTTGCAGTAAAAATCAATGGTCAGATTATTTGTTGAAGAGGTGTTTTTAGAAATACTAAAGTATTACTATTTTTTTAAGATTTTATTTATTTATTTGACAGAGGAGAGACACAGCAAGAGAGGGAACACAAGCGGGGAGTGGGAGAGGGAGAAGCAGGCTTCCCGCCTAGCAGGGAGCCCGATGTGGGGCTCGATCCCAGGACCCTGGGATCATGACCTGAGCCGAAGGCAGACACTTAATGACTGAGCCACCCAGGCGCCCCAGAAATGCTAAAGTATTATAACCTCCAATATAATTTTTGCTTTTTGGAGCATTAATAATACTTAAGCAGATTGGTTTTGTTTTCACTTGCACTAATAACATTTCCTCAAATAGTCCTCATAAATTTGGGGGGAAGTGGGAACAAGCAATTAACGACTAATTCATTCTTTTGATACGTAGGCATCCCCCTGGAAGACGGTAAGAGAGGGAGGAGATAGGGAAGGGCTAAGATTTCAGTTAACATGTACAGATTGGAAAATGGCCTTTTTAAAAATTGAAGTATCTTATTTGCTTTTAATATTTAGGTTGCTCATAAACCAGAATGCCTAGAGATAAGTATTATGATAACTTTGAGGAACTGAACTGAGGTTTTATTTTCACCAGAATGATAGCAGTAAGGTTAAACATATTTTCTAGACAACAAGATTATTTGTATTACTACTCTTTCAACTGATTAGTGTTTAAGAAGACTTCGTGTATGAGAATTTGTATGTCCGGGGCGGGTGGGGGGGCGGTGAAAAGTAAAGTACCATATTAATAATGTCCTTTGGACAAAAATGGAAGATACCTGCACGGTTTGGTGACCGTGCCTCAATAGCTTCCTATATCTTACTGTGTATTGAGCTCACATAGAGTACTTTTTAAGTGCCCTGACACACTTCCCAATACTTCACAAATATTCACTTATCCGGGGTTAGCTTATTAACAGTTAATCACTTATTCTAGTTGGAGACTATAGGAGAAAGTAGGGTGTTTTTCTCTTTGTGCATATGTTTTTCTCTTTGTTGTTGTTATTGTTTGTTTTGTTTGTATGGACCTGGGAACTTGAGTCTCGGGGCTGGCCACAAATCCCTGTCCCGTGGTAGTTCTGCTTTTTAATGCTCAAAATGTGTGGAAGAGTCCGTCTTGAGATGGTAAGGATCATATACTAAACAGTTTCTGTGTTATGTTAATAGTAAACCTTACATTTCTAGGAAAATGAAGCATTTGATGAATAAATAAAAATTAGACCTGTCCCATCCCTCTTTTTTAATCATTAAGCATATTTTCAATTTATATGCTAAAATAAGTTATTAGAAATTATTTTAAATCCTACAATGTCTCTGTCCCTGCTCATTTCAGCATGCTTGAAGATGACCTTCAGCTCAGTGACAGTGAGGACAGTGACAACGAACAAGTAAGTTTCGTACACCCCATCATACCAGGAATCCTTTTAAATCTAGTATTTCTGAGCTGCATATCCTAACCTGTTGTTTGTTCTTTTCCTGGTCCTCCTTCCCCTTATTGTGAATACCTAGAGCCCAGAGAAGCCTCCTCCTGTATCTGCACCTCCAAGGTATCGTGTGCGTGTGTGAGCAAAATGTTTGCGTTTTTCTACCAAATGGGGAACATACAGCCTTATTTAGTGCTTTCATAGCTTCTTCATGGGGAAGGACATAAAGGATCACAGTTAGAAGAAAGTACCTGTTTAACTGAGTGTTGTTGGAGTGGGGGGTGGGGGGGGAGGGATGGGATGACTGGGTGATAGACACTGGGGAGGGTATGTGCTCTGTTAAGCGCTGTGAATTGTGCAGGACTGTTGAATCTCAGATCTGTACCTCTGAGACAAATAATGCAAGATATGTTAAGAAAAAAAAAAGAAGAAGAAGGTAGCGGGAGAGGAGGAATGAAGCGGGGGAAATCGGAGGGGTGGACGAACCATGAGAGACGATGGACTCTGAGAAACAAACTGAGGGTTCTAGAGGGGAGGGGGGTGGGAGGATGGGTTGGCCTGGTGGTGGGTATTGAGGAGGGCACATTCTGCATGGAGCACTGGGTGTTGTGCACGAACAATGAATCATGGAACACTTCATCTAGAACTAATGATGTAATGTATGGGGATTAACATAAGAATAAAAAAAAAGAAGAAAGTACCTGTTTAATTTTTTGGAAGCTTAAATCAGCCTTGGAGAGCTTGTTAACTCTATAAAAGAGAAAGTCCCTGTACCCACCTAAATCATCAGTTTGGATGTTTAAAATTTCTGAGAGTTCATGGGGTGCCTGGGGGGCTCAGTTGAGCATCTGCCTTCGGCTCAGGTCATGATTTCGGGGTCCAGGGATCGAGCCCCAAGTTGGGCTCCCTGTTCAGCAGGGAGTCTGCTTCTCCCTCTGCCCCTCCCCTCCCTTGTGCTCATTCTTTCTCACTCTCTCAAGTAAATAAATAAAATCTTTAAAAATAAATAAAATTTTGGGGGCACCTGGGTGGCTCTGTCAGTTAGTGTCTGCCTTTGGCTCAGGTCATGATCTTAGGGTCCTGGGACAGAGCCCCACATCAGGCTCACTGCTCAGCGGGGAGTCTGCTTCTCCTCTCCCTCTGCT